ATCTAGAATTGGATATTGTATTGTTGTACAAATTCGTATGTAATTGACCGAGAATGTTAGAATTTAAAAATCAGGGTAATTGTTTTCGAATTTAATCTTTTCGTAACAATTCGCTATTACGAATTAGCATTATTTATTTTGCATAAAGCTGGAGTTTTTTGTATCTTACATATGCATGGAACTAACGAAAATTGAACGTACGTGATTCATTAAAGAATGTTGTACATGTACATTTTAGCTGATACCTAAAGGACAGGATTGGTTAATCGAATATCCTGCCCTGGTATCCTACTTTATAAGGTAAAATCTGATTGGTTCTCTTTGTGGTATAATTCGGACTCCGCCTTACTGCCGCCAATTGCGTTGTGTGTTTTTACCATGATACCGAATACTTTATGTGCTAGGAGTGTAATTCTTGGAAGGTTGTAGCGTCCGATCTCCTTTCTTCTCTTCGCTTTTTCTTATTTTCGTTTAATGAATATATGTATTCACGTTGCGCACGTATATTCGTACTTCCTCCGATGTCTACGTACAATAATTATGCGCGGACACGCGTGCAGTTTTGGTAATATTTGAAAATGAAACCGTAAGCATTTTGCGTTCGTTATACGTACCCATAACACAGTAATCTCTTTTTCGATTGAATTTCTACTTGAGAAAATCTTTCCTTTCACATAACAACACGTACTTTATAATTATCACTGTTCCATTTCGTAGGTTTTGAGTTTCAAATCGGTTGTATAATCGTCATCGATATGGAATCAGAAGTTTTTTGTTTCTTTAATTAAGTTTAAACGCGAGGCTTCCTCACATTGATTTTCCAGACATTTCACCTAGTGATTAACTAATTACAAGTGTAACGTACTATGCTTTGATTGATTACTCATATACATCAATTTTTAATAACTTTATTCTAATAATCTTAGATATGTACGGGTTCATGAACCTGACTTGGAATTCATCAATTGTATGTTCATCCATTATAGAGCTTACTATCCCTGAATGGAGAACAAATTCTAAACGAAAATTGAAGTAATTTGAACATAATCTTATTCCTTTTTCGTGTACACCGTGAACGCATGTACGTGCACGGGACGATTTATAAGTAGTAAAGAGAGATGCGCGCGCCACCAGGTGGTGCAGTGAGCGAGTGTGCGCGCATGACGTGAAAGGTAGCTGTGTAAGTTTCTACAGATGTTACGTTGTCTAACTACCGGTTGGCTGTGTGGGTAGTAGCCTCTGGTGTACGTATAGGACAGGATAGGACAAGGTAGGGTAAGAGAGAAGAGTAGTCCTTCGTTGTGAACCGAAGAGAAGGAGTATCGTCGTTGTAGGGGGGGAGGGGTCAGAGATGTGTAGAATGATTCGGACCTATGGACACGCTTGCACCTCGACGGTCCGCGCCGCAGCCGTAGCCGCAGCCACCGACGGTGAAAATCTTGTATACGCGCGCGCAAACAAGGGTGGTTTTTCGATAAAACATTAACATACAACCAGACCGATCGGACGATAGAAGATTTCGAGCGGTGCCCGTACGAAATATACGAAGAAAGAGTGGATTGTGCAAAGTGAAGTGACGCTTCTAGTGCTTGAATATCGAGCGTCGCGGTGGCCGCTACGAGTTCTCTCGGAAGCCCAAACGGAAATCTCTCACGATAATGGCGTACTTTCCGACGAACCGTGCTTTTTTTTCCACCAAGTCCTTTCGATCGTTTTCGACACCGTAGCGTGCTCGTAGATTTTTATTCCCCGTACGGTCAAATGCGACGGGTTTAAACGGAAATTAATACCGGAATTAAAATACGTCCGGAATATAGTGTGAGAACTTTTTATGTCTTTCTTAACAGTTTCTTCTGTTCAACCCTGTAATATACTTGACGCGTGTATTTTAGTTCGTATTCTAATGGAAGCGAGAATATTCTTCCGTACATTTTAGTGCCCTGCTGTCATTGCTTCAGGTTTGTAACGTGTTTTTCAGTTCCTCTTTCATTTCGTGTTTTTATGTAGCATGCATCGATGATTTTTCGTATCGGTCACTCGTGTCAATAAGCACTGTGCAATTATAATACCATATTGTTGGTTCAAAAAATATTGATTTTACTGTTTTCATTAGCCGATCGTAATCTCACGTTTTCATTGTCCTCAAACGGATGGAGTATCCAAATAAAGGAATTTGTAATATCTATCAATTTTCAAGAAGTAACGATGTATACGTTTTCGTTTCATTTAAATGCATTTCTGTAATTTACCAGTGCATAGAAATTATCTTAGCTGTTACACTTTGAGTGTTTTTTGTTGATACGAAGGCATCTAATTATTTCTGTTCATATTCCTAGTAAATTCTGAAATTAGTCCTAATCTTTACGTACTTGCACTTGTTTCACAATTATCAGAATATTCCTTCTCACTTTTAGATTATGTTGAATTATCACAATAGCGTATTGTACTAATATTATTGTTAATAAAAATTGAAGAAGCATATTAATATTTTTGAACATAAATTTTTACAATCAGAGCTTATCTAATTTTTATTCTGCAACAGTGATGTTTTGCATAATTTTCTATCGATTTCTTGCAGAACATTCTTTATCATTTATAATGCACATGCAAGAAATGAGACTTTAAAAATGTTATGAGAGTGTTGTCCAAAGTAGGATCTATTATATATAGGAAGTTCTTATCCCGTGTACACATAAGTATAATACATTCAGGCTTGTTTCCTGTTCCTGGGAATGAATACGGCATCTTCCAAGGGGGAAAGGTTATAGCGATTATGAGAAATTAAGTCATAAGCGTATAGCTTTTTCCCTTTGGCGTTTGCCACCGTCACCGTGTACTAGTTACAGACCGCATCAATTGCTTGACTGCATTGAAAAATATTGAATTTATGCAAGAATCGCGACAGATATTAAACGGAATTGTAACACAGTTTTCGATGAATGTTGTTACAGGCAAAGAAGACTTGGATCAACAATGGGCACGTTAATGGCTAAAAGAGAGACTATACGATATTCTCTTGAGCCTGAGACAAAGGCGAAGAGTCCTGCAGCATAGACATGGACTCGTACGACTTGTTCGGTGAAGATGTTAGTGGCTCGATGCTCGATGCTCTTCCTGACCTCGGGGGGAACGATCATTTTGACCCTGCAGGCACGACTAACTCTGTGGTAGTATCTAGAGATGGTCCAAACCCTGGTATTAATGGAGGAGGGAGTTACATTAGTCAATCTTACATGTCTCAAGAATCTCCGCTTCAAAAATTAACTTCATTCGGCGGTTCTGAATTTGGAAGTTCGAATCAATTGCAAAATCCATCGCCACGCAACATGTTTAATCAAAATCTTGGTACGTTCGATAACGGCGCGCCGCAGCGCGCGATGGTGCCCGGAGCGTTTCAAAATCAGGCTCGAAACATGGCACCGCAGCACAGAGGGCCTCATCCCGGTAGTGGAGGACAATATCCTAACTATAACGATAATATGTACTCGATGGAGCAGCAGCATTCGATGACTAGGTCGAGCATGTCTATAGATCCGAGTATGCAAGGCTGGCCAGGCAGTGGAAGTGCTTATCCACAAATGCAGAGACATTATAATCAGATGGCACCACAGCCTGGTACTTACCGGCAGCACATACCTCCGCAGTATTCTCATCAGCAAGATCAGAGCGGAGTTATGAATCAAAAGTTGCAGCAGCAGCAGCAACATTTTAGTAATCAACAGAACATGATCGGGAACATGGGTGTGCCGCATCAGGCGATGCAGCCTGGTGGGACGAGTAACGTGTACCCGCACATGGTCGGCCAGCAACAGCATTACCAGCAAGGGAACTCTGTCCCATTGTATCAAACGTCTCCCGGGTATCCGGGATTTGCTTCGGCTATTCATCAACAGCAGCAGCAGCAGCAGCCGCAGCCGCAGCAGCAGACTCAGCAACCGCCGCAAAGGATGCCGCATCACCATCCGTCTCATCCCACGCATCAAACGCATCCTTCGCATCCTCAACAGTATCCTCAGCATTCGCAACATCCTAGTACGCAGCAGCAACAGCCCATAGATCCTCAGTATTCTCATCATGCAAATACGATGTACAATCAACCTCAGCATTCTGGACCAACGACGCAGTTTGGCACAGCGAAGCATGCCACGAGTCCACAGTATCGTGCAACTTTTCCACAGTTGTCACCCCAAATGTCGCCGAGGCCGCAGATGTCTCCGCGACCACCGGCGGTGCAGCAACAAATGTCTCCTAGACCTATCATGTCGCCAGCTAAACCTAACACACTGTCTCCGCATCCGCACGTACAACTACCGCATCAGCCATCGAATCAACCTGGTCCAATGCCTGTTTCACCCTGTCCACCGGCTTCGATGCAGATGAATCCTACGTCGCAGCAAACTACGCTTCAAGCATTGGAGCAGATGGTGATACCAGGCGTTGCTGTATCAAATTCGAACGTTCCCAATCAAGATTATAATCAGTATCAGGCGCGTCCACCAATGTCGCAAGCACCAAATGTTATGCCTCAGTCGACCGCACAAAATTCAATGGCATCTATAGCTGGTCCTAGAATGCCGTTGCCGAATCAGTGGTCGCAACCACCGCAGCAACTCCAACCACAGCAGCCGCCACCGCCGCCGCAGCAGCAACAGCAACAACAGCAGCCGCAGCAGCAGCAGCAACCACCGCAGCAGCAACAACCACCACCGCCGCCGCCGCCGCCACCGCCACCACAGCCACAGCCGCAGCAACAACAAATAAGGCCAAACGTGAACGAGGATAGAAGCGTAGTAGAAACTCAGCCTCCTATATCTGAACAAAGTCCTTCTATGTTCCCAGTACAAGGAACGGAACCTATTCACAGTGTCCCAGAAACTACGACCAGAGATTCTACAGATCCTGTTCACAACACGATCGAACCCCCGAAACCAGAGAACGAGGCGTTACATCAGAACGTTCAAGAGCAACAGGATGTACTCAGCCAGCAGCCTGACAGTATGATGCAAAGTACTACACAAAGCAATCCAACGTTGGAGCATACATCTGCGAATGTACCTCCGGAAATAGTACAAACCTTACCAGCTACTAGTACCAATGGAAATGTTGAGTGTTCGTTACCTCAACAACAGCAAATGGCACAGAATCAGGCTCCTGTTTCTACCGTCGAGAGTCAGTGTGATAAACAATCTAACGATCAACATTTGGAAATGAATCCAGTAAACTGTCCAACTAATAGCAATGCTATTGCTCCCTCTCAACAACCTGCAGTGAGCAGTCAGATGGCACAGCAGCAGCAGCAGCACAATCAACAACAGCCTATCAGTTGCCCACAACCAGTTCAGCAAATGCATATAAATCAACCTTCTGTAGTGCCAACTCAACAGTCTCCAGTACAGCCTCAACAACCATTGCAGTCTTCGCAGCAACCGCAAATCAATCAAGTGCAACAGCCTCCAATAAGTCAACAATCATCCCCGCAGCAGCAGTTACAACAAATAAGTACTCCGCCACAGCAGCCGACGATTACTCAGTCTCAGCAGCCCGCGTTGAATCAAACGCAACCATCGCAGCCGCAAATTTCCCAGCCTCAATTAGTACAACCACAACCACCACCAGCACCGCCACCGACTTCATCGACTCAACCAGCTCAACCTTGCATTAGTCAGGCTCAATCGACGCAACAGCCTCAATCACATATGACGCCACAAGTTGCTATGATGCCACAGAATGCGCCATTGATCCCAGCACAGGTGCCACAAATGCAAACTCCTCCTGTACAGAATTCGACGCCCCAGTTGCAGAACCAAACTAATCAGGTTCAGCCTACGCATTTGAACGGCCAACAAGTGCCTACGGTCAATCAGAGCACTAACATAGTATTGCCATCCCATCAAGCTGCGGTGCCAAATTCGCAAACCACTGTGCAACAGAATTTTACGGAGTATACCAATATCCAGAAAAATAACATTTATCCGAACGAGATGGTGGTGGGTTCTGGTCAACAGTACCCTTCCAGTGGTGACATGATTAGCGGTAGTACGATGCCAAATATGTACAATATGCCACCGAACTCGACGTCGACGGCAGTCACGTCGGCCGGTTTTCCTAGCTCCTGTGCACCGGTTACTCATCATCAAGAAAGGGCAGCGTTGCAGCAGCAGTTGCAAGAGCTGTTCTGCATGCCTCCAGCGAGTGAGAACCAAGAGAAAATTGTTGCTATACAAGAGAAGCTGCAAGCATTGCAACAACATGAGACTAATGATCAGTGCAACGGTGGATCTCAATGTATACTGCAAAGTCCAATGTTCACAGCGACTGCAGCTGTTGTAGATAGTCCGCAGGTAAGTAATTAATATTTTTAATACATGTTTCGTTCAAAGAGAACTTTGTTTAAACGGTTTATTAAACAGGTTACGAGCACTACTGGCCGTGGTCGTAGTAAAGGTACACCGAGAGCTAAGAAGAGTAGGAAGAAAGCTGATAAAGAAGCGAGTGCTCCTACGATTACTCAGCAACAGCCGGAACAGCCTCTGTCGGATAATCAAGTGACTCCTGGTGACAGTAGCAATATCGTTGACAGCGCCGCTGATTCCGAAGACATCAAACCGTCTTCTGGAGACATGGAGGAAGAGTGGAACAAAGGAAGGAAGTCGCGAACTCCTTCGAGGAAACCACGTAAACCAAAGGAACCGAAAGAGCCGAAGGAACCGAAAGAACCGAAGGAACCGAAGGTCAAAAAGGAACCGAAACCTCCCAAGGAAGCGAAATCTCCAAAAGCACCGAGGAAGAGAAACAAAGACAAGGACTCGACGAAACGTAACAGAAAGTAAGTTTCGTACTTCTTACTATTTTCATTTTCTTTTAGGATCGATACATTGTACTTCTCTTCGCAGAAAAACTAATCACTCCGAGTCGGGTGACGACGAAGTTACACAGGAAACGGAGGAGACCACGGTGTCTGATTCAAGCGCAGTGAAGGAATCAGATACGAAACCATCCGAGTCGTCCATTCAGGGTGACCAGGAACAAGTACATTCTTCGACTACCGAACCTATAGTGGTCGAGACGAAGGATCAGAACAAGAAAGGGGACTCTGAGGATAGTCCGATGGATGAGAAGAAAGAGGAAGACGCTAGTATAACCGCGGAGACACCCAACAAAAAGAAGGCTGCTGCTCGCAAGAGATCAGTCGGGAAAGTTTCGTTAGGAAAGTCGCCTAGAAGTTCGAAAAAACGGAAAAGTCGGATCGCGCCCGATTCCGACGGTGAAGAATTAGCGGCAACGCCTCCACCCTCGCCAGAGGCCGGGGACGATAATAAGAGGCGTTCCGCGAGAAACACGCATCGCAAGAAGTACGTCGACGACGTGATGCTCCGATTTTCGGACGACGACGTTCCGCTGCAGGATTCTCAACTTTCGAAGAAAGTTGAGAACGCGGCGAAACCTGTATCTGTCAAGAAGGATAACGAAGGCGGTGAAGTTGGACCTAATAAACCTAACTTTGTGTATATAAACACTACGGACGAGGATTCCATGGTTGTGCAACATATATTATGCTCTCGAATAGGGAAAAGAGAAATTAAACCGCCAGCCCTGGAAGTGAAAATTGAAGCGACCGACGAGAAAGTCGAAGGGAAAAGCGCATCTGACACAAAGGATAAAGAGGATGAAGATGATTCGAAGGAAAAGATCTCTGAAAAAGAGTCAGTCTCGGAACCGGGTAACAAAGACGAAGATGACGAGGACAAATGTAGCACCGAAAATGCAGCGAAAGATAAGGCTAAGAGCGAAGGAGAGGTCACAGAGTCGAAGCAGGAGAGCGCTGTGGCAGAAGTGAAACCTCAGATAGTGGAAGTCGAGGAGTACTTTGTAAAATACAGAAATTTTTCATATTTGCATTGTGAATGGAGGACCGAAGAAGAGCTGTACAAAGGCGATAAACGAATTCAAGCTAAGTTGAAGAGGTTTAAGCAGAGGCAACAGCAGAACACTAACATCTTCGAGAATACCGAAGACGATCCGTTCAATCCAGATTTCGTAGAAGTGGACAGAGTGCTCGATGAAGCAACGCATACCGATCCAACGACTGGCGAGACTATAAAGCATTACTTGGTGAAATGGCGATCTCTCCAGTACGAGGATTCCACTTGGGAATTAGAAGAAGATGTTGACCCAGAGAAAATAGCTCAATTCATAAAATTTAATAAATTACCGCCCAAAGATCAATGGAAGCCGAAGAAGAAACCCACTGCATCGGCATGGGTGAAACTAGAAGAATCGCCGATTTATAAGAGTAATAATATTCTACGACCGTATCAATTAGAAGGTCTAAATTGGTTGCTCTTCTCATGGTACAACGGTCACAACTGTATCCTCGCGGATGAGATGGGCTTAGGGAAAACGATTCAGTCTCTGACGTTCGTGGACGCTGTGTACAAGTACGGGATTCGTGGACCATTTTTGATAATTGCACCACTTTCAACCATTCCAAATTGGCAGCGGGAATTCGAAAGTTGGACCGACATGAACGTCGTTGTGTATCACGGATCTGCGGCAAGTCGAACCATGCTTCAGGAGTACGAAGTCTATTATAAAAATGAGAAAGGACAACAAATCAAAGATCTGATCAAATTCAATGTACTGATAACCACGTTCGAGATAATCATAACTGACTTCAATGAATTGAAGGGGTATAACTGGAGATTGTGCGTTATAGACGAGGCTCATAGACTTAAAAATAGAAATTGCAAATTACTCGAAGGACTCAGACAATTGAATTTAGATCACAGAGTCCTTTTATCTGGCACGCCTCTGCAGAACAACGTGAACGAGCTCTTCTCGCTGTTGAACTTCCTTGAACCGGTACAGTTTTCCAGCAGCGAAGCATTCCTGAAAGAGTTCGGTAATCTGAGCAGCGAAAGCGAAGTTCATAAGCTGCAACTTCTCCTTAAGCCTATGATGCTGCGACGGCTTAAAGAAGACGTGGAAAAGTCGTTAGCTCCGAAGGAAGAAACAGTGGTTGAGGTGGAATTAACAAATATACAGAAGAAATATTATCGCGGTATCCTCGAAAGAAACTTTTCTTTCCTCGCGAAGGGAACCACATCAGCTAACATTCCGAATCTCATGAATACTATGATGGAATTAAGAAAGTGCTGTATTCATCCATTCCTACTTAATGGCGCGGAAGACCAAATACAGTTAGACTACAAGACTGGTGAAAAGGAAGATTCGGAGGCTTATTATCACGCCCTCGTAAATAGTTCTGGAAAAATGGTTTTGATCGATAAACTACTGCCGAAACTCAAAGCCAGCGGTCATAGGGTTTTAATATTTAGTCAGATGGTGAAATGCTTAGATCTGTTGGAGGATTATTTATTGTATAAAAAGTGAGTTATTAATTCATCGCAAACGTTTCTTCCGGCTCTTTGCAAGAATGTGAATATGAAAACATTCTTCTATTACAATTTGTTTAGGTATCCTTATGAGAGGATCGATGGTCGAATTCGTGGTAACTTGAGACAAGCTGCTATCGATCGTTACAGTAAACCTGACTCTGACAGATTCGTTTTTCTTCTTTGTACCAAGGCTGGAGGACTTGGAATTAATCTCACAGCTGCAGATACAGTTATCATATACGACAGCGATTGGAATCCTCAAAACGATTTGCAGGTTTGTAATTGCTTAAACGATTTATTTCAATTGCATTTATGTAAACTAAATACATGGTTCTATGTAGGCTCAAGCTCGATGTCATAGAATCGGTCAGCAGAAGATGGTGAAAGTATATCGACTGCTCTGTCGAAATACTTACGAGAGAGAAATGTTTGACAAAGCTTCTATGAAACTTGGATTAGATAAAGCTATATTACAATCTATGAATACGAGTCAAGGTGGTAAAGACCCAAGTAATAAACAATTGACCAAAAAAGAGATAGAGGATCTGTTGAAGAAAGGTGCTTATGGTGCTATTATGGACGACGATAATGCTGGGGACAAATTTTGCGAAGAAGATATAGAACAGATACTTGAACGAAGAACACAAGTAAGAACCAGAAGTTTGTCTTGTTACTCGATCTGTTTGATGAATTTGATATTAACTCGTGGCATTTGAATCGCGCAGATTATTACGATAGAAGCTGAGAAGGGTTCAACGTTTTCGAAAGCCAGTTTCGCGTGTTCGTCTAACAGATCGGACATCAATATTGACGATCCGGACTTTTGGAAGAAGTGGGCTAAGAAAGCGGAGATTGACACGACGGAGAAAAAGGAAGAGGACGAGCTGGTGATATCGGAGCCAAGGCGGAGAACACAGATCAAACGATACGGTCACGACGAATCTGTTGTCATGTCGGATCTTGATAGTTCGGATGACAACAGCGACGATGAAACTAGTGGGTTGACAGGTAGAGGTATGTTCGTTTTTAGCGCATGTTAAAACACCATGCCATTATTAGTATTATACTTCATTGAATTACCGATACCTGGTGCGGATTTAATGAGTTGCAATTACTACAAAGGTATTGGCTCAGATATTGTATCGTTCAATTTTCTCTCTCGATCGACTAGTAAAATAGTTATTCCGTTTCACGCATTGTTCAAGACATTACACGTGTTTCGTACATAGAATATCGAGACATGAAACATAATATCCTATAACATAAAGTACATACTTTCATACTCGATGCTTTTAAACGTTCATACGCTAATAACTTTCCCCCTTTATTATAATGAATGTTATACACGCGTATAAGAATTAGCACATGCATGCATGTCGAGAGTGCTAAGAAATGCAATACATGTTACCTCAGATATTCTTAATCTCTTTGGTGTCTTTCTGCTATATGAAATGCCCCAAAATCTTGCTCTAGGTGAAAACATAGATATATAAAAACACGAGAACCGTAGCATAATTTTGGGACCACGTAAAATGCATGGCAAACAAACACATGTTCCTTCTCATACATTATAATTTGATAGATTTGAATCGTTCATGGATACATCATTTCAATGGAAATTTAATGCAATTTATTTCAACTGACTGACTAATGAATAGAAACATTGCTTCACTGTTTAATGTTTATGCATTTGATTCCCGATTTAATTTATTAATGCAATCATCTTTTACCTTTTTATTTTTAAATTCGTAAAATTACTTTGTCGGTAAGGCTCACAAATCACGAAGACATTATGTATCACTCTTGTGATGTTGCTTGCTGTTACTATAAAACTGTTTATGTCCTCGAGATGCGAGGCGTTACACCTTGTTTTTAACCTGTTAACGTTCCTGAAGTCTCGCGATGTGAAATCTAACATTATTTTTTTTTCTAACTATTAAAAGGTAAAAAACGAAGAGATAAGTTCAACAAGAAGACACGAAAGTTCTGCGACGAATATGTCCCGCGCGAGGGCGAAGTGGTATATGGAAGTTGGGCACGAAGCGAATGCTTCAAGGTAGAGAAAGGACTGCTCACGTTCGGCTGGGGACGATGGGAAGAGATACTTCAGCACAGTCAATTTCGTCGTGGATGGCGCGAAGTCGACGTCGAAGACTGCGCACGAGTCATTTTACTCTACTGCCTTCGTTACTACCGTGGCGATGAGAAAATTCGTAACTTCATTTGTGATTTTATTACGCCTGTAGAAAATGGAGAGAAGATCAAGACTGTGTGTGCTAATACTAGCGGACGAAATAATAGGCAAAAGAAAAAAGGCCGAGTCAGAGAAGGTAGAGAAACGCGTGGCTCGGCTATCAACGGGGGCCCGAATGATCCCAATCATTGGAGCAACGCCGAGAAATATGACGGAGACATATTTCTCGAGAGCAATTACAGAAATCACCTGAGCCGCAACGCGAACAAGTACGTAAATCGAGCTCATCTCACCTGATAATTTCTTTTAAGAACACGTTTTAATCTGTAAATAACTTTGGTATTATGTACAGAGTACTGTCACGCGTGCAAATGCTTTACTTTATCAAACACAAGATCATCGGAGACCTGGTCCAACGTATATCCGACGGTGTCCACGTCAGGTTGGTGATTTGTACATATACATTTATTTATCTATACATTAACATATACATATATAAACTTTAAGACCTCCGTTACTCTATACTCAATTGACTACCATAGAATATCATGCACTTACTTACACGCTTATACAGAGCTTCATAGTTGCATGTGCAATGTATTTGTTTATCTGGGAGCTGTAATTGTATGAGGAATGCTCATAGAGCTAAACCATATTTACTTCGTAGCTCTATAAACAGCTATTAATCGCTGATGTCCTATATTACTAATATAAAAAGTTTCCTATCCTACTTCATTAAACAATGTATATGAATATATACACGACTTTTTAAATTACTGTAAACACATTGTACGGCTTAAGTATATGGTCAAAGTTGGTCGACTCAGCAATGTATCATGGTAAGAGACAATTAAAAAGCAGTGCACTGTATTAAAGGGTTAAACAGAATAGGAAGTTTAAAGTTTATATCACGTTTACGTTTAATTTGAAGCAACTGGGTGAACGAGTAAAGATCTCTTCAAATTTACATATATTGTAATATGTCTTCTCTCTTTATCTAATAACAACCGGTTTTTACATTAAAATTCGTTCAAGCTTTTTTACAAATCTATTTTCATTTTAACAAACGATTGGCATACATGAATTGGCAAAAATTGTAAATGAAACCGCCCTACAGTGCGTTGCGGATAAACCCTCCACAGCTGACGGACCGACCAGCGAAATGGTGGGACTCCCAAGCAGACAAATCCCTAATAGTTGGCTGCTACAAACACGGCTACGAGAATTACGACCAGATGAGGATCGATCCCGCGCTTTCTTTCATTACAAGCTGCCCTCCCCCTTCCCAGTCTCAGACCATACAGAATAAGTAAGTAATTATTCTCTTTACGTTCGTTTTTTTGTTATACATATACATATACCGTATATCTATGTGCCACTGCTGTTCCATTCTAACATACATGGCTTGCATGCTGTTTAAATTCGCTTAAGACAATGCCTCTGCTAGAATTTAGTGTAAATTTTCCTTTTCATTTTATTCATACCTTTATTCGTACTTTAACAGCGAACGAATTCTGTACCTTATCCGTTCTCAAATAAATTTCTACTAGCTTTCGTTCATACATAGCGGAGAAGGATGATGCGTATTAAGTACCAGATCATGTGTAATGATTTCCAAGTGTTTCTTTTACGAACAGTCCATTACATTGTACATACTTAAAACTCTTTTTTGCAACGTAACGTTTTTAGAACCTGCAGCATTTTTTAATCGGTAAATTTTTGTTTCGATATCGTACGATATTTGAATTGTAGTTATAAGAGTCAATCAAGTAAATGTACGTCTTTACAATTACGATACATACTAGACGAGTTTTTGTGTAGTTGAAATTGAACAAGTTTAAAATACACGATGAGACGTGTACGATAAAATATGATGCTAACGTGAAACCTTTTAACATTTCAGTAGCAGCAGCAGAGACGATGCTAGTTTAGAGAATGACATCGAAGATACCGATTCCCTCGGGATGTTGAAAGATTCGAAGGATTCCGATAAATTTAACCGAGAAACACCGACCGATTCGCCTGCTAATAAGGCGGACACCCCCGGTCCTGAACCAAGCAGTAGTCACGAGGGGAACGATGGTTTATTAGACGAAGAAAAGACTTGGCCATCGGTGGTCGATCTTAATACTCGGTTACGCCGTGTAATCTCTTCTTATCAGCGCAGCGCGAAAAAGGAAGACGTAAAAGTGTTACAAAAATCCAAAGGAATGGAAAGTGATACAACGACGACTGTGAATCACGCCACATCGATGAATGAATCGCCTTTAAATATGCAGGGATGGGACTTGCAACAGCTTGCTATGTATCTACTGGTAAGTCGTTTGACGTAGAAATGAATATGTAAACTAGAAAGAAACTGCAATTTGTCTTCTTTGTAGAAGATGGAACGAAGGGAAAAGATGGAGGCCATGGTGAAAGAGCAGACTCGCTTGGAGGAACAGAAAACGAAATGGTCGCGTCGCGAGGAAAGCGAATTCTTGCGAGTCGTATCGACGTACGGTGTCAATTACGATAGGAAGAAGGCGCAATACGATTGGACTAAGTTTAAGAGTATAGCTAGATTCGATAAAAAGACTGACAACGATCTTACGGATTACTATATGTCCTTCAGAGCGATGTGCAAGAAAGTGTGCAACTCTAAAGTGACGGACGAGGACAGTACGTATCTCTCACGTCTTTAAGAATGCATGCAATTTGTTGGTACGTAGTGTACATCTCAGAATTTTTAGATACCACTGTCGAACATCTCACTCCGGCGAAGGCAAGGCAGATACTTGATCGTGTGGATCTTCTGAGCAAGATTCGTGAGGAGATCTTGTCTCATCCTCATCTGGAAGAGCGACTCTCGTTGTGTCAGCCATCGGGCGACACACCCGAGTGGTGGCAGCCTGGAAAACACGATAAAGAATTACTGCTAGGTGCAGCAAAACACGGCTTAGGCAGGACTGATATAACGATTCTAAACGATCCCGACTTCTCGTTTCACAAACTTTTGAATAAGAATATCTATAGCAATATCCAGGCGCCTAAAGCCACGGATAAATCCGAAAAAGCAATTAAGATCGAGAACAGGGATGATATATTGAAATTTGATAAGGACGAGATACTTGTGAAATTAGAAAAGGGTGAAGGTACGTTAAAAATTGAGAAGGTGGGTGCGAAGAAAGATACGACTGTAACGGAGAAACGGTCAGAGAATGCAGAGTCGGAGAAGAGCCAAGTAGAATTGACTATTGTCAAGGCTGAAAATAAAATCGAAGAGAAACCTGTCAGTAATGCCTTAACTATTACGACCGTGGCGAAAGCCTTGCCGTCGGACAAGGAGCAAACTACAAAGATAAAAACCGAAGAAAAGAACGAAGTAGTAATAGAATCGATAAAGAGTGAAGTTCCCGTAACTGAACAACCTGCGGACGCTAGCAAACCGGATGAGACGAAAGCGACTAGCTCGGACACCGAAGAAACGGCGCCTGTAAAAACGGAAGATCAGGAGAAGCCAGTTCCAGAGACCGAAAAAGAGGAAGATAAACCGGAAGAAAGTAAAGAACCGCAAGTACAGGAGATAACTGAGAAGGATACGTCGGAGCAAAAGGAAACTGTGCAAACAGCAGCAGAAACGGTGATTGAAAATACTGAGAGTGTCGCGCCTGAGAGTGAGAAGGTCGTCGCGGTATCCGATGCGCCAGTAGTTAAGGAAGAAGTGGAGGCGCAGGAAAATAAATCAGGAGACACATCCAAGGATAAAACGAAAGGCTGCAAGCTTGAAGACAAGTGTAACGTCCAAGTAGCGGAACAAATTAAAGCGATGTTCCCCGATTTGGAAGTTATTCAACCGTTGTCACGATTACCGCAGATCGACACGTTCGTCCTCCGTGACAAAGCAGTAGATCATAACGAACCAACGGTTGTACAACTTCTGTCGCACAATAATAGTGTTACGATCAAGTGGCCGAAGGTAAATTCTTATATTTTATATTATTTTCTAATTCTAATTCTAATCTTAAATTTAACTTAACTTAATCTGGTATCTCCGAACTCTTTTTAGGAGCACGCGATCGAAGCTCGTTTGATGCACATCGTACATGCGATCGAGCACAAAGAATGGCCTGTGTCTGTAAACTTCACCGCTGGCGATGAATCAGACGTTGCTTCCAATGATAAAGAATGTTCGGAAGTGATAACTATAACTACAGATCACGGAATATCACGTAATGTAACGCCTGGGAATAATATGTCGCAGTCTAAAAAACGCAAGAGGCACATTGCTATCGACGTAGAAACTGAAAGAGGTAAGCTGAGAAAATGGCAACGACTGATACGCAGTTAAAACGTAACTATCTGGTTTTCGTTTTTCCAGCAAAACTTCACGCATTATTGAACAGCAGCAGCCATACTGTTACTCAGTCACCTGCGACTTTAAGTAAACCTACAGTATTGTCGGGATCTAATAACTGGGAACTGAACGACGAGTCGCAATCAGAGGAATCGAGACGTTCGACTCCGGTCCAACCGCCACCGGCGCATCAGCAAACGCGAACACCGAATATGCCTTTCGATTTGAAATACACGGTTCCTGGGAAGCCGACCATAATTCCTGGAACTTCGAGTACACTGACTCCTATAGATTTATCAGCCGGGTGAGTTATAATATCCTCCTAAACAACGTACAATATTTATCATATTAGTATTTTCATTACTTATCCGTCATGTGAATCCAAAACCTAGGTATCCAAAAACGAGCACGGATAATAATAATAAAGATATTATGAACGAGGTTCAAGACTTCTCAATGCCAAATAAAAATAAACAAATTAGTAGTAATAAAGGGAAATTAGATAGTATGCTAGACAAATTAATGAAGAGAAAGAATTGCGTATGTATACATTTAGTTATTTGTTAGAATGCTAAAATTAGTAGAAATTAAAAATTGATATCATTACTAGCCGACGGACGAACCGGTAATTGGAAAGGAGAAGAAACGTCGGAAACTGGACGAGATCGTGCTAGGATTAAGCGCAGCGAAGGAACAGCAGAGCAGTCATTATCCCGAACACAGTAAAAAAAGTACAATTACACCGAACGTTACTGTTACTCCAACTTCAGCACCGATGGGACTTCCAAATCCTCCAACGAGTGCCCAAAAGCCGTTTTCTATCACTGTCACTACAATACCTTCTTCACGAGCTTCGAACTCTACTTCTGGATTGCCGCCCCCGTCTTTGCATTCGCACAAGGATAGTTTTTCTGCTTTGCTTGTTCAAGCTGAACAACAAAATCGGGAGTTCAAGAAACAACACCAACAACATCAGCAGCAGTCTCAGCAGCAGCAACAACAGCAGCAGCAGCAGCAGCAGCAGCAGCAACAACAACAACAGCAGCAGCAACAACAACAACAACAACAGCAACAGAACTTCAATGCGACGCACTCATCGTCATCGAGTAGTCACAAAAAGAGTTACGAAGCGATGATCGCAGATATTAACAAGGTTGCTGAATATTCTTCTAAAACAGGATCGTATTCTCATGAGGCTAAAGTAAATAAATGGTTAGCTGAACAAACTGCTATGTCCGAACAGTTAAGTGCAGAGTACTTGAACGCACCTAGGCGACGACGACCACGCGTTGATCCGTCGTTGTTAGACTGGAAGAAATTGACCGGCGAAGAAAACGTTGCTGTGATCAACAGATTGACGGGAAAAAAGGTGCGGATGGGAAATTTTATTTCCTACGTACTCCTATCGGTCGTATGTAATTTATATTAATTTTAATGTGGGTTTCAGGTGACTGGGAGCAAGGCGCCACAACTGAAACGATTAGGTCAATGGTTAATTGAGAATCCAGTGTTCGACGTGGACCCGAAATGGGCTGAACTCGTGAAGGAGCGGGGAAATCTTCCACACGATTTACAAAAGAGATTATCTGGAAATGATAGGAATTACGCAAATAAGGGTAAGAGCCCAGGGAGACCTCCGATGATGCCGAGCCCTACTAGTCAACAGTCTGCGAATCAAGCTAACTTAGCAGCTACGTCGATGGCTTCAGGTTTAAATTTCTCGTCACTGGGTAATTTGAATAATTCCCTTTTATCCGGCCTCTCTCTAGGCAATTTCGATCCAAAGAATAATCCTCTTTTAATGCCGTTCGGCGGCCTGTCCAATTTGGGTGCCCTGAGCGGATTAGGCAACTTCAGTAATCTGAGTAACATGAGTCTAACGAATTCTTTGTTCGCAAATCTCGCTGGTCTTGGTTTATCGTCCTTAGCGGGTATGGAGGCTGCTCTAGGTGCAACGGCGACCAGTACAGCGGGCGATACCAATCCCGCGGTCAGTTCTGTTAACAGTAAAAGTACGAGTTCGACTAATATCAGTAGCGCCAGCAAATCGTCTCGCAGTAAGATGGAGCCCCCCACAAGTAGCAAATCTTCGGTGCCTTCGACTTCATCCGCATCATCCACGATATCGACAACGACGCCGTTCCCATTCTTTTTCCCAAATCCTAGTCTCCTGTACACGCCACTGGGTTTGGGTGGTCTGAATCCATTTTCGATGCAACCCGGTGGAGTGTCATCGGCCTACGAAAGTCTTGCCCAATGTGGGTTATTGAATCCACCGACGTCGAGTGCCTCAACAGTGCGGAAGCCTGCATCATCGGCGAGCAACTCGAGGCAACGCGACACGGTCACGGAATCGACGAGCAAGCGGAAAGATGCGGAGAAAAAGTCCAGGTATACCATCGATCCTGCGATAACGTTACAGCAGTACACGGACATGGCGTTACACAACGAAGAGAGACGCAGAGTCGAGCCGGAGAAGCGGGAATCCTTGGAACAGAACGACATAGCAGATCTCTCCGAAAGAAGAACCGAGAGAAAGAGCAAGGAACAAGAGATGAAAGAGGCCTTGGATCACTTGAGTAGAACCAGCGCAGAGATCCTGACGAGAAATCTCGAGGATCAGCGAATGATTGAGAAGAGAGGTCGGAGCTCGGAGAACCACGGTCAAACCTCCGAGCAACAAACGTCCAGCATGCTAGAGGTAACTCTTGAACCCGTCGTTAAGAAGCCGAAGATTGAAATCGAAATCAGCACGAAGCCTGTGACGAGCACGACCACTGTACCTCCAGCCGACGTGACAACGAGCGAAGCCGGTGTGCCGATCAAACAAAGTTCTCCGGAGGATAATAACGCGTTCAGTGAGACGTCTTCGAGTATTAATAGGAAAGAGACTGAAGAAACTATCGCCGCTGCAGTGATACCGACTTCGACCACTTCGGTCACTGTCACGACAGTTGCATCCACGACTACACCTACACCCACACCTGCACATACGCCGACGCCTACATCTACGCCTACATCGACGCCTACATCAACACCCACATCGACACCCACACCTACACCTGCATCTGTGACTACACCTACCTCTTCTACCACATCGATATCGACAACGGTCCCGGAAGATGCAACTGCATCGCAGCAGCAAGCACCTGCCAATGGTAAGAGTGATGCGTCGAAACCTCCGTCGGAAATGGAAGAGGATAACAAGGGTACTAAAGCGAAAAAAGCGCGAAGTGGGAAACGACTAAGTGTAGAACCTCCTCCCGAGCGAAAGAATCTTCGTTCAAGTGCCGGTAGACAAGCGAGAGCAGCGGCGGAACGACAGGCAAGAATGGAGGGTGAACTGCAATCCGAACAACAAGAAACTCACGCAACGAGTGAGTGAAGTGAACGTTCTCTTTTTTTTTTCTCAAATAATAAGTGAGTACGGAACAGTACTGGTGTTGTTAAATGATCAAATCTTCCGTTGTCGCGATTAATCTTATTGCAAACTCATGCGATACTCGCACAACGATTTCCAGAGTAAAATCGTCGATTCATAAACACTTACACGTCTACGGATGAATCAATGAGGCGGTCGTTTTTAATTAAAATAGAAGCACAAGTGCATTCAAAGAACTCGAACAAAAAAGATAAAAAAAAAGACGTAAGAAAGAATAAAAACATTTATAGAATTTGATTTTTTCTTCCAGTTTATACGGAAGTAATGGGACAAATAACAAGTAAACCACATTACCATTGCTATCATTGTGAACGTATAACATTGAAGCTGTTATGAAGGCTGGCAATAGTATTTTATCATTCGATATATTGTGTGGTGATTAACTTTTAATTATATAATATTACAATAACAAACTATTATTTTGTTAAATTTATTATTCTTTATGATCTTTATTGGTTTTGACGAGGGACTGTTTTATATAACTGCTATCTCACTATTGCGTAGTCGCGCAACAGTTTGCGGATCATTCGAACGTAAGATTATAATCATAATGTAGTAAAGTAATTTTAGTAAATAACTTAATAAAAAAAAAGCAACAGTGTAAATATTCTATACATTATGCCTAGAGACTATAAGTGATCGTGTACTTGGAAAAAATGTATATAACACAGTGTACTTTTAATTACATTAGGTGATACAATAAACAGCTTTTTCTGTTGTTTGCAAATGCCAACATTAGAATCTTTGTTTTTGATAAATTATGTATACCTCTAACGACGTATAGATAAAACATACTCGTCGATGAATAAGTTATATAAATTTTGTTAATATAGACAGCGGAGAATATGTGCACAGATAATAACACGAACGACGAATACTTAGAACATAATGCAGAATTTTTAGGTGTATTATTTTCGATTATTTTCGTCACGACCTTATCGATAAGAAATTTTAAATGATATGAGATGAAAAAAGAATTGTCCGATTGTACTTTCCGAAATGATAAGCTGCCATATAATAACAATTGTCAAGGCACTAAAAGGATATGCTTATTACTATAATTGTATTTCGCAGGATACGATATCGCAATTATATTGAACAAAACTTAATATATTATCGAATTTGTACTTTAATTTTTACGAACATCGATTTTGATAATTTTAAAAGAAAAATACATTGTAAGATAATTGTTTTTCCATCATTGAAAGTATTATTCTTACTGCGGTTGCGGTACAACGCGCAAGTAAGGCTTACCCGACGGTAGCGTTACAATTTTAATATCGTTAAACAACGTCTTCGCTTCGTCGTCGGAGACCGTCGGCTGAATCATCACCGGTTCGCCTTTCTAAAAATTACGGTATGGGATTTGTCAGTTTCCTTTGGATAGATTTTTAACCAATGTTTTAACTAATGGGTAAGGTAACAGACCTTCCAATCAACTGGAGTTGCTACTTTGTGCTTTTCTGTTAATTGTAGCGATTCGAGAACACGCAGAATTTCGCTATGTTTAGAAATTATGTTAATAAATGCGTATATGAATAAAAGTTTTTAGTAATTAAACGTAGCGAAGAAAGTTACTTGAAATTTCGTCCAGTAGTCGCAGGATACAGAATTGACAATCGCATCTTTTTGGCAGGGTCAATGACAAATACAGCTCTGGCTGTTACTGGTACACCATTACTATCGACTTCTGCGGGATCTAACATTCCTAATAAAGTCGCAAGCTTTCGTTTTTCGTCATCTATTATCGGATAAGGGAATTCTTTAGTGTCCGTCTCAGCATAAGCTTTTATATCCTAGAAAATTTCTTTGGTACAGTGAAACATTCGTTCATTATCTTAATCCAGAGAATTCATCGGAAAATATACTTCGATCCATTTGTGATGGGAATCGACCGAATTGCATGACAATGCGATAACTTTCACTCCTAACTTTTCGAATTCCGGCATCAATTGTATTACTCGAGCCAATTCCGTCGTGCATACCGGCGTGAAATCGTGCGGATGAGAAAATAAAATCCCCCATCTAAAAGACGACGATCAAGTATACAGACAAATATGAAAATTAAACATTGAGTTGACTGATCTCATCTTAGTATGTTAAGATTCGAAGAAAGATAAGAGCCGAGGGTTATGAATATTGAAAAATCTTACGAGTCACCTAGCCAGTCGTGAAAATTAATTTGTCCCAATTGTGTTTCGGCAACGAAATTTGGAAACGTCTCACCTAATAAAACCATCTCTGCGTTTAATGGTTACTTCTCGAGGTAGTTATCGTAGAATTTTTCGTCCGAAAGACGGTATAATATGTCATGCGTTAGTGGTCGCCCCGTTATGTATGTACGTTTAGAAATTGACTATCAACCGATAAATATTGTTAAGACAATTGACAGTTGGACGGTCTCTTAAAACAATGTAATAGGGAAGACGATCACTTGTATAATTCAATTGTAAAATTCTTGAAATTTCCCACCAATCGTTGGTCCAGTCACCGGACGACTACGACTACACGACTTAAATTAAGCTTGCGTGCACTTGCGTGCATGCGTTATAAGTTATAACTACTATAGTATAGTAGCGTGGGTTTGTTACCCGCGCACGTGTGTTACATTACTTATCATTTATACAGTACACGCAGTATACAAGAACACGAAAACAAGGTACACCTTTGAGCAGTGTTTAAAAAATCATTACAACGAAATGTATAATAGAGTTTGTATAAGTTTTTTCAACGCTGCGCACAAATTATATTCAAATACTCTCGTTCATTCTTTGGGAAATAATATAATGGTTCCGCGAGTTATATTCGCTGTGCAAACAACTGTTCGAGGTTACTGTAACATCAATCCGACTTACTATGTTGATCAAGCATATGACCAAAAGTACCAAGAACAATTGGCGAAGCTCCTAGAAGATCCAGAATATAAAGCTGTATATGACAAGTGTAAATTAGAGATAGAATTCTTGAAAGTTGAAACGCAGAAGGTACCTGAACAATTCAAAGCTTACGACTGGTTACACTTAATACGAACAAAAACCAAAACACAAAGAAGGTAACGTTTGATCTGTCAATTTTTCAATGAAATTGTATTGCATTAGAAAATTATTTTGGAACTGTTTTTATATCTCGTATGTGTTTAGAGTATACGTAGAGCATCTATGGAAAATAGAAAGGAAGGAAGAGAATCGGATAAGGAAAAGAGAATTGAAACTGGCCGAAGGAGAACCAGAGATAAGAAAAGACGATGACAGTCCATATGGATTGAGCAAATGTTCAATGTTTTACAGAATTCGTGAAAAAACAATGGTAGAATTTGATAATAGCAGGCTAATAAATGCTATGTTACATGAGCCCACAGTAGTATTCGATCTTGGATATGAAGAGTACATGGCACCTTATGAACTAACAAATACTGCAAAACAGTTGTTACTTTCCTTCTCCCTGAATCGTGCACATGACCAGCCATTCAATCTTTACTTTTGCAATATTATTAAGGACAGTTTAGTTATGGAGAAATTACACAAAACCATACCACAGTTATATAACCCGGAATTTCCATTAAACATAACTTCAAAATCTTATTTGGAGATATTTGATAAGAAGAAATTGGTGTATCTCACTCCTCATACCAATAAAACTATGACGGAATATGATCCCAATCTAATTTACATAATTGGTGCAATGGTAGACAAGGTAATCTATAATTATAATCATATTCAAGAAAATATCTTTGTACTAAGTCATGTTCGTTCATATAATTTTCAGACAAATCCTAAGCCGTTTTCATTTCAAAAAGCTAATCGAGAAGGTATAAAAATGATGAAATTTCCATTGGGTGAAAGACTTGAATGGGGAACAGGCTCAAGGAAAAATCTTCCTATTAATCAAGTCCTTTCAATTCTGTTGGATTTGAGACACACAAACGATTGGAATGCAGCATTCGACCACATACCTAAAAGGAAATTGAGACAAGCAAGGGAAGATGCTATCGAAAAATTAATTGTAAAAAGGCAAATGCAGCTGAAAGCTTTAGGCGAAAAATAGTATTCATTGCCAGTTCAATAAAATTGTAAATAAAAGCCATTAAACAGTGTCCGAAGATTCAAGGAGTTTCGATCATAGCACTGGACAGAGACTACAACTCTCGATTCCCATAATACAGTTTCTGTATACAATTGTAGAGGCGAGAGAGCTGTAATTTTTAATTTCAGTCATGAGAGCAATCGTCCCAACACCATAGATTTCTCACTCTTCCGCCTTTCGTCAGACGCGGTGCGCAGAGACCGGTCGCGCATTCACTTGCCTATCACGTTCATAGCAGTTTCGTAGTATATGCTTTAAGCATAAGTGAATCATGTAAATTCACCTTTATTTCCACTCGGCGCTGCTTCCGTTCTTTTGGCCTTTACCGACTAGAGGAGTCGTCCGCAGAGTTGTCTATAGCAGCTATAGTCTCGATTTTAAATGAGCCATTGCTTCATATTGCCTTTTTTGAAGTGATCCTCGCGTGGTTTACGTGTTGCTAAAGTTTACTCGGTGAATATGGGTGGTGAAGAAGGTCTTGGAGTGACCACAGGTCAGCCTAATCTCTACAAACAGGATCTTTCAAAGCTAGTGAGTAATAAGTACGACGAAGTGCCACTGTATTCTGACAAGCTTTCATCATGTTTCGTATAACCTCATTTATTATCGGTAGCATACTGCAATCATTTTTTGGCTTGCGTTGATTCGATCGAAACGTATCAGCGACAAGTGTCGAGAATTAAGAGAGATGTTTCGAAGATTCTACTCCATTTCAGGAGTTCCTTTTATTGTTTACATTACTTTGTTTCAATAATTGCAAATGACATCTGGCTTCACATTATCTTCT